CAAAAAAGCAATCATTGCTAGATTGTTATTTGGAAAAATAATTACTGTGTACGCGCATATAATAACAATAATAAAATTATATATTAATATGTTATGTAAACTTTGTGACACGTATACGTCATAATACTGTGACCCTCCTATATAGTCACACTCCCCTATAGTCACAGATTTAGCATGCACCGATGGTGTGACTATATGGGGGGATGACTGTAGTTATTTTATTTTATTATTGTTATTACAATAAAAAAATGATTAATCCGTCTCATTAATAATGTCAATGATAGTCAGTGGTATTATCGACAGAAATCACATAATTCAGTGGGAATTTTTTCATTTTATTAAACTACCCGAAGCAATACTATAACAAAAACGTGTTGCTTATTTTCGGAAGAATACGGTATATTAGATCCACTATGGTGCCCAAAAATTATAGCACTTTATGCTCTCTCCTAAAGCAAGAGAGCAAGGCGAAAAAATTGCGGCATATATTTTTAAAATATCTGACAGCAAAACTATTAAAGAATATTTAGACAAGGAAGGAATCACCTATGAGATTTACCAAGAGAAAGGTCAGAAAAGCCTCTTAATATTAAACGGACATTAGCGGAACCAAAGGTTGTTATAGAGGGGGATAATCCTATATGCCTTTGATTTTATAGCAGGCAACGAGTTACGTCACACAATACGGAGGTGTCAAGCAATGACGCTTCCCTATTTGAATACATAATCAACTTGCTGGTAGTACTTGTCGGCATATGTTATCGCTGGAGCTACTCTGAAACGGGGAAAAGGTGAACATAACGGATTCGCGATTTTTAATTATTTACTGACACGGCCGATACCATTTCTTTCACAATATTCCTCCACGACTCTGTTACCAGCGTTACGTACTGTAAATAGTATTATTTGTGCGTCCCATCCACGTAAATTAATAAAGCAGATTGTATAGTGTCGATATCTTACAGTATAACAATAGAAAGCTTTTTATAGATCAATATGCATTCGTATTCTGACAAGTTGTAAGCAATGGTAGATGTAATTACGGCGGTGTGTGATCGGTGGCTGTTGCTATCTATCTATTCTAACAAACTTTACTTAGTACGAATTCTTCGAGGACTTCATCACGTGAGTCGTCTTTAGTTTTCTCGACTTTGGATTTCATCATTTCGGCTTGAGACTGGATAGGCGGACGATAAAGGAGAGGACTCTTTTTGGTTGTTCCATGTCGCCTTAAAAAGCAACATCGTACTCCCTGGACACTTCCACCCTGGGCTTGTCAGGTGTGCCGGTCCACCGAATAAATTGCACGCGTCCAGTTGTTACTATTCCATATATAGTATTGCATTCATCAAAGTCATAACTTGGCTCTTCACGCTTTCGTTTTCCCAACAATTGCTGGGAAAAATGAAGCCATTGGTAAGTGGTTAGTGCTAAGACGAATCAACGTTTTAAGTATAATCTCAAGTACCTCAGCAACAGTGTGCAACTGAACAATGTTTTGAGTCAGCCCTTGCGGCATCTTCTCTAATTCAGCTACAGTCACCGGAATCGCGAGTTCATAGCAGAACACTACATAGTCTAGATTCCCGTAGCCTCGACTTCCATCAAAGTCTTGCTCCACACTAAGAACTAGTGATGGATGAGAAGACACCACATGACAAACTGTCGTGTGCATAAATGGATTAATGTAACAACGCGCCATAGCTCCGTTGCTGAATTTATATTTGAACGAGCATGAAGTAAGGTCGATCGTGTTAACAAAGCAAGATTGAAGTTCGGGGGTCAATGGGACCCCATCGGGGAGGTTTTCTACAAAAGGTTTTAGACATCATGATAAAATAATTAATGCTCAAAAAATTAGAGACACTGCCTATGTCAAATGTTGGTAATCTGTCAATGGTGGAGGTTCCCGGTAAGCGCAGAATATCGGCCAGTACCTCTTTCGCTAACCAGTCACCGTAGGCTTTTTCCCTAGAAGGGGTATAATGGATACACATAAATAGTAGTGCTAGAGAAAATGAACGTAAACAAAATAACCAACCTTTAAGCTGGACCGAAAAATTAATACTGCAATTTTGATTTGTCGATTTGATATTATCCACCAGACTGTTAGACGTGAAAACGTCATCAATACTGATTGTTTTGTTGTTTTGGGCCGCCACGAAGCAGAAATCGCCATTTCGCAATCGGTCGAAATTTTCTTTGGTTTCGGCTCGCAAAACAAACCAGGCACCAGTGGTATGACCAACAATAGTGCCGATTGAAGACCTACTAAAGCTGATGTGCGCGACGATATTATCATTTGACAGCGGATAACGGATAACGAGTGGGGACTTGCCAGTCATGTTAAGAGAACTAAGAAGTGTTCCAGGGCTGAGCGGCTCGCTGCAATCATTGTTGGCAAACACTTGGAGATTTCCCGGTGTAATATCCTTGAGAGCGGAGAAGTTTCGAATGGGCAGCTATTTTCAGAGCGTGTAAATTTAGCCTGGAGGCAGGTTGCGCGACAATATCTAATTCTTCAGCAGTCGGCTTGTTCTCAAGACGGATCCAACACGTTGTTGTTGCTGTTGTTGCAGAAATAGCGACGCTCATGCCTACGTATTCTAATGCTGGTACGGTCAGTCTTGAGATTTGGTTGCTCATTTTTTGGGGGGAATGGCTGTTTAATACGTGGCGTGAGGGGCGTGGAGAAGTCACGTTTTCGACAATTCCCAGAAAATTATCCGATGCACGACTATACGTGACAAAGTATCCGGATTTTAAAGCAAGGACTAACAGTAATAGCGGACAATAAACTACATAAATCAGGCCATAAAATAAATATACACTCCCATGGCAAAAGTCACCGACCACCCCTTATATTTGCAATTAAATGCATAACTAGCAATGCAATTACCGCATTGCAATATGTTTGGTAGATAAATTATGAATTTGCCTAGAGCCGACTTTTATTCTACAAAAAAAGTAAAATTAGGTTACGCAACACAAATGTTTAAAAAATCGTTAAAAATTGACTCATGTATTAATTTACACTTAGTTACATTTATTTGAAAGTACAAAAGAAGCGCTGTCGTATTTATAAAATATTGTCCAAATATCTAGCTTCTTTGTTGAGAAATTGGATTTTGAATCTAGGATACTATTTGATAGTCGCCGACATCTCTTAAATTTGCAATTAAATGCAAATATTGACATAGCAAGCAATGCAATTACCGTAAAACTAATGCTGAGGTTAGCGCATCTAGTCTACAACACATTTACAAAAATTGTAGCGTTAAAACCAGATGAAAATAATGTTATTACTAATAACCTACATATTTATTATTATTATTTGGTTAAGACTCAGGAAAGAATTATCAAAAATACCTTATTATTATTATTATAAGCCAACCAGTCTTCTCTCAAACTCGATAAAAGTAATCGAATCTGAATACTTACTTGATAAAATAGATCTACTCAGTGTTCCTCTTTTTGTGCAAATTTTAGATAAACTACAAAGGTTCCAATAAAAATTTTTTTACTGTATTTGGATAAAATCCTTCAATTACTATGCAATTAACACCTTAACTCTACAATATTGATAAATACAAGTTATTAACATTTTGATAATAGAAATATATTACCTTACATTGTACTCTTATTGCATAACTTCTATCATCATTATCGAGATATACAGTACCATCTGGCGAAACACGGTGATGGATACATAACAATTCAACAAATACTTTGCGAAAACCTCATTTATACACGTGAGATTAATTATAATATCTCACAGCATCTGTGAATGGATCCATGTCGGTCCAATGTATTAAACACAAACGACTGTTAGTTATCTCATATCATAATATAAATAGAATAAACCGCTGATTAATTTTATTTAACTTTATAATGTAATGCTTTTAACTTACGGTGGGTAAATTTTTTGTTCTTCTTCGTAAACTTTATAAGTATTCAGTAAAGACAACTTGCGTAATGTTAAATTCTCTGATTATTCATATTGAGAATTTTATTTGTAAGACTCGAATTTAAGAACGTTCTTATATTGAAACAAAAAGTGGAAACAATGTTATTCTCATTAACACTTATTAGTCATGGGACATATTAAAACGGCAATTATTATATATGAAATCCTGTCAGCTAGCTCTTCGTTCAAAATTAGAGTAGCCTGCCCACCGTATTAAATACGCTAATACTAACCACTCTTACTATTACTATTACTGCGACTACTGAATTTGCATAAGAGTAATAGATAGTATTATAGCCAATTGTCATTTCTGCTATTTGTCGAGGAATTCGCTTCTCGTCGTCATACCTTGCGATACTGTTGCAACGTATTCTAATAAACTAACACTAACATCTTTCATACTACTACGACCGCTGAACTTGCGTAATTGTAGAACTGTAAGTACACAGTAAAGTCAGCTTTAACGAAGGCCCGCTTTAACGAAGATGGCCTTATAACGAAGCTTTTTATGGAACCGACTCATTCATTTATGTTTGGCTCCCGGTTTAACGAAGATTTATAATTAAAATCTGTATAACGATATAACGAAGAAATTTCAAACCCACTAATAAGAAAATCATTCAGTTTAACGAAGATTGCCTAAATTAGAGCATGTCTGAAAGCGGAGCAGATCTCTCGCGATTCCCATTGTATAACAGTCAATAAAACTGCCAATGCTGATCACGTTCTGCTCTTCCCCTAAATTAGCATGATATACCGAAATTTTGGTGCATACCAAAGTTCGTTATAGCATTACTGTATATAGAGATCTGACCAACGCATGCAATAAAGATGTCTAATTCTTCACCCATTCAGGTTGCAAGTGATTGTGAGGAACAAGTCTCAAGCAAATGCGTAGACAAATTGTTGAAAAAAGTGTTGCAGCAAAACAGACATGTTTAGAGAATTTTATTAATCAATAGAGAAACAGAATGGAACGTACAGAAATAAATAAATAAATCCCGCTTTAACGAATATCACGTAATCATATATATAATCCGTAGAAGTCCGCATTAACGAAGTTTTTTGACGGAAAGGAGCTTTTCGTTAAAGCGGACTTTACTGTTAGCATAATATTATAATTAACATCTTTCATTGATATTGTTTATGCGAAAACGGGCTGTGTTACGTATTAGTATTACTAATTCACGTGATTATACTGATGCCTTAACTTATAGAGAACTAACTGTGTTTAATATTAATACTAATTAAAATTCAAACGAGGCGGGAAAAGTCAAATATTGGTTACAACGCATCTTATCGCTAATTTGCAAAAGCCAAGCTGTAAACTTTTATACTGTGTTGACGGAGTGGGAAGTTACATACCATACGCATATACAATCGTTCAGAAGTAAATGCTCGTCAATGAATCCTACCACACCTTTCAAAACAGTTGTCGAAATGTTGGTTAATCGCTCAATTAACAATAACAACCTCAATCATGAAGAACTTTTGTTCACCTCGCTAAGGGTTCAATTTAAGATCTGTATTACAAATATTACATATTAAATATTACAAATCAGATTTATTATTATGTACAAACTTTAATTTCACAGACAATTTTGAATGAGAAAGACCAACACAAAAATACCGAACATTAAATATTAACATGAACACTGTGCCAAGGGATTACGAACGTTCGCCTTTGCGTACACCGAACTATTCCGTACTTTCACCACGTTTCGTCCACATTCCTGGGAATAACATGCTGTTAATAACGGGAGCAACTCTGGTTTCGACGCTGATATTCAATACTACTGAGTTCAATACAATGTTTGCTCTCTGTCGGAACTGGATATTCACCTATATGTCTTACAAAATCATTCGTTTAATGTATGAATCTTTCAAGCAAAAGCTCTCGAACGCTCCTCGGTCGCTCAGTCTCAAAGGATTTTCAAAGACATCCACTCGAATGATACTCTGCATCTTGCTCTTTACTAAAGGAACGTATGCAACAGCGCCAGAAGAACTGGCTTCTACCAATGACTATTATGACAGCATTTCTCTGATGTATTTAACGATCATAACGGTATTTCTTGAGATCTTTTACCGACACAAGAATCCTCAGGTCGCTTCTGTTGACGACTTTCTCTTTTACGTTTCAGCTAGCGTGTTTACGCTGATTCATCTGAGTCTGTACACATGTTGGAATTGGTCCAAATTTGTATTTCTCCCATTTTTATCAGTTTACATACTTGCGTTCTTTAGTATAAAGTGTCAGAAAAAGTTTTGGAATGATACTATTGAGAATAAGAAGAAGAGTTCTACGCTAATTACGGGATTTTTGGCTCTTGGATATCTTGTTCTTTTCTTTCCAAATATAATGCTGATCGAGCTTTATAATAAACAGACGGGTCCAGCTATTGGTCTAAAAGCAACGGTAGGACTCTGCATCTTTCAGCTGGTCGCCTGCATATGGCTTTGCTCATGGTCGGTCTATCGTAAACGATTCAAAAAAAGAGACAAGAATAATGATGTTTCAGACAGGGAGAAGTCTGTCGCGAAGTTGCTTGCAGTGCTCTCAAGAATGATACATGGCTACATATTTTACTCTGGCATTTTCATAGTTTCGTTTAACTATACTGACACAAATGCGTTATTTGCTAAGATGTTGGTGGCTACGATGAGTCTTGCTATAATCCGACCTTTCTCTTACGTATACCAGTCATTTGGAGATGATATAATAGATTTCCCCGTTCGCGCGCTAGTATATCATGAAATGGAGGACGACATTAAGCTCTTACGCGAGCATAAGCAAGAGCATGATACTATAGATGATATAATGGATGTACTAAACATATTATTGACGGAATTAAAATCTGGTAAAACAAACGGTAAAAGGGATGTTAGTCAGGAACTTCGCAAACTCTTCAATGAACTACAGAAAGACGTGGTCTAGCGATGAAAATATCAACACATGTATATCTTGTACAGATATACAATCTCGGATTCAAATGGTACCATGCAAATATACAGAAAGGACTGCAACATCACTTGTGTATACAACATAATCGAAAGTTGTCTGACGGAGATAATAACCACAAGTCAGAAAATCAAGTCAGTTTTGGAAAAGGTTCTATGTATATTTTTATGATAAAAAAGCCTATGTATAAACATCAATGTATTATTACCCTATTTAAGACTCCCCTTTTTGCAATTTCTAATACACTTTCAGTCTAATCATAATAATAAATCTCGCTGTATATCGTGTAGACATAGTTGGCGCTTTGTCTACCTCACATGCAGAGGATGGATTGAACGAATGTATGGAGAGTTCACGGTTTTCCTGGATGCGTATTTTGTGTGTGTCGAGGGGTGTTCGTAAAGATATTGCAAATATCGTTGTCATGGACTTGCTTTGTTAATAATTCGCAAATCAACCCACTTTTTGTTCAAATTGCCAAAGAGAGAATATGTGAATCACTTGCTATCTAATTTCTGTATTTTTGTCGACTTTTGTTGCCGGTCTGCTTGTTCTGTGTGCATTCCGTACAGGTAATCTAAATCACACAAACTTGTACTGCATGAGCGTCAGTAGTTATTTAAAATGAAGAGAACCTAAACAAGTTACACTTTCAAAGCTCACTATCGACCACTATTTAATACATTTCACACTAAGGCACATACGTTCAGTATGTTCACGATTAGCGCGATCCATTCGGATATTTACGAGTTGGAGAGACTTTTGTTGAATGAGCCCTATCTTTGCTGGCGATGGGATCATCCGCAATTAAATTGAATTAAAGGTCTTCAGAAATGATAGTTCAATGTCACAACGACATGGCAAGAATAGAAATGGTTCGTTATCAGCAACTAAAATATTCTGTTTCCGTAGATCTAACGCAATATTGGCAGTTGTTTAATCGACTGTTTCGCGTATAAATAACAAGCAATCGGACACTTCTGATATTTCCAATTCAGATGTGTCGGTAGTATATAAGCAGACATTCCGCTGGCCTTGTGTTTATCTTTAAAATTAATTCTTTATTTATTCGGTGTCCATCGATTCAACGGTCTCGCCGCCCTGTCCTGTATCTCCACCATCCAACAAATCAAGATATCGTTGTAATCTGTCTCCTTCAATAGTCTCGAACTTCTGATCTTCTCCAACTACGCCAACCGAGCAGTTTTGCGTATCGATTTCTTTGTCTTGCTGAAGGGTATCACGTAGAGCGTGTAGGCCGTGGCGTACAAGTTCATCTAAAGTGGCTGTATGATGAAAAGAAAAGTGATTGGGGTGTCAGTAAATGAATCAACAGCAAACGTGTGACAGACATGTAATCTCATTAAAAATAGACCAAATAATAGACAAACGATTCGAGAATCAAATGTATTACCATCAGCAAATGATTCATAATGCTTCTCGAGATAAGTTTTTGCGGATTGGGACCGTGCTCCAATCGACATGGCATAGTATTCAAAAAAGTTTCCGGACGGAGCAAATTCATAAAGATGTGGTCCTTTCTCCTATGTGAAGTTACATTATAAACATTCAGTATTTCAGAGTATGCCAAGGACATTAAAAAGAAAATGATACAGCCGAACAGTTCACATACATCGTATCCAACAATTAACAACCCGACACCATATGGTCTTCCACCATAATGCTGAGTATTCGTTTGTGCCTCTGCCGAATAAAATAAATAATTTTGATCAAATGGTCATAATATAGTTGTGATAAATCAAAGCCGATGCATACTGTCTCCAATAGCCGACACAATTCTATAAACGGGAAGTGGCCGGTTGAATAACATCTTAGATCGCATTGCCTGAGTACGCATGAAGTTACTAAATCGATAATAAAACAATCAGAATTTAAGAATCAGTGTTCACCATAGGCATCGTAACGAGATCATTATTGCTATTACATTCAAGCTCGATTCCTTTGATCTCACCTCAGCACACGCGCATCCGAAGTCAATCCAGCAATAGCAATCCCTATGTGATCATCGATCTTGATAATCTTTTTCTGATACGAGGACAAATCGCCAGAAGACCTCTACAGCACAAAAAATACGCACGTAAGTTTCAAGTGTCCTGAATTAGCATCAAGACCAGCAGACACAAGGCCGGCAAAATAGCACAGTGATGACGCATGCACATCCCGAATGAACTCACCTTTAGAACAAGAAGTATCGCATGCGTCTTTGACCGTAGTCCGACTGCGGCCGAACCTTGTTTTACTGCTTCTAGAGCATATTCTATCTGATGAATGCGACCTTGAGGGCTCCAGGTGCAAATGTCGTTATCGTACTGATTACGAAACTACTGGACCATTGTAAGAAAAAAAATTGCAAAATAGTGAATCAAACATGATTTACGCAACCGCAAACGAATGATATGACAATGATTGGTTGTAGCATGCAGTTTATAATGATACCGATGGTTTATATTATCAACTGATGTTTTTTTCCTCCCCCAATTCTGGGCTTTTCATTTTCATTACCACATACCATAATCAAGACTATTATAATGCACGGCACGAGGACCAGAAGAATTTCAATTAATAAAATTCGTCAGCAGATGACGTACAAAATTCACAGGGAGTGCTTCTGCCGATGATTTCCAAATATAAAATTTACCCTTGTAAATGTAACTACTTTAATATTCTTACAAGCACACCAATATATAAGCCTTTGTTATTCGAAGGCGGCGTTATACTTTTCATTCTTATTGCTCTCAATTGTGCAACCGAAAAACCCGTGTGATGTAATAGTAGATAGTATTGTCCAGCAACGGGAACTTTAAAATTTAATCTGTAATATGTTCAGTATTTTGTTGATTAAGAGAATTCCAGGTTGTATTCTGTCGATTATGTGGATTACTTGTTGCGTCGTAACAAGACTCCTTTGGTTTTCGACAGTGGTCTTCAACAATTTTGTTAAATTTGTAAAAAAAAAAAAAAGATTTTCGCAGTAGCGTTTCCACATCCTCGAAACGATTGATTTTATACCCAATATGATTTATTTCTCAACACAGCAATTATCAAACGATAAAGCAGCGCAGTAAGTAGATTAGCAAATCATATAGTTTCACACGACTTATTATCATATCAATAGAGAAGTTATCGAAAACTGTTCATAAGATTTATTCCGCGATGGAAATTCTCGAACAGTGAAGTTAATTGTATCATCATAAAATTTATTTTTAATCATGATAATAAAATTTAAAACAGTGAAGATAGATTTAGCTAATCATACAATTTTACGTATCATTTATCATACGATCTATTTCAATCATAATGCAGTAATGTGGTATTATAATATTTATCCTCGATAGAGAACTTATGGTAGCTTTAGCCATCATGCAGACTTTCAAGGTATCGTCATACGAATTATTCCTCAATACAAATAATCACTTTGATCATGACACAATCAGTAGACAGTCTTTCGTTACCAATGAACTGCTTATGAAGCAGATTTAGATTTATCATTGTATTATTATTGTCGTTGTATTTCAACTTTAATAGTCCGTCAGCCCACTAGCTCATTAACAATAAACAAGTTGCTATAATCTCGTAAGCCGGTATAATAGAGAGACAAAGAATGAAGAATATTGACAAGATAATAAAAATTGTCTAGCGTTCTGGTTATGACTTTATTAACATTTGGATTTGGGTCACCGATCGTACGTGCGCAATGATATATAAAAATCAGGTTTTGGGACAGTATTAATGAACACTTATAATTCGGTGATTGGGCGTTTGATGAACTGGAAAATTGGTTATAAACCCAACACCACATCTTAAACCAAGTTTACATCGATCAAAATTACAAACATTAAATAATCACTATCAAAACGCGTAAATTCTTTTTGTGGGACTTATTTACACTTCCGCAAACATCACTAGCCCCCCAGAACCAACACATGTCGCAATAAGCAGACGTCCAAAGTATTATCAATAGTGTTCATAGAAATGTTTGGTTAAAAATAATAACATTCTATTGTTTAACCAATTCACATATAAAATTTTATGAACAAACTTTTACTCACCCCCCGATAATGCAGCAGCTATGCAATTTAAACAATATAGTTCAATATTAAAGAGTGGAAATAATTTCTTTTTCAACGTATGTCATATTATACCCAGATGGTTATTAAGGATTGGATATTGTTCTACCTTTTTTGTCGAGAATGACTGTGATTTCGAAAATTGGACATACAATCATCCCTCCACTCCTCTAATCGTCATGGTGTGTTTACGCACTTTTCGGTATTGTCGATAAACGGTAAAATAATTTTCGGTGAAATGAATCCGGGCTATAATGGGGTATCTTTAAAGCGGAGCCAATAAAACTGCATTGCCGGATCATTTTGGCCTCTCCCCGAAACATGAGCAGCAGGCTCAATGTTACTTATTTTTAAATATGGCGGAATTTCACCTAGAGGACGCTTTCCGTCATAAGCTTGTAAAGTTTATTCCGTATACTGAACTCGAAAATTTGACCCGTGTTGACAGTGGCAAATTTGGAAGCGTCCAAACAGCATATTGGCATAAATCAAGAAAAACGGTTGCTGTTAAAAGGCTATATTCGTTTGAGCAAAATGATACAACTAGTCAAAAGTTTGTTCACGAAGTTAGTAATAGTGCATTATTATATTAAGCTTTAATTTCAGTGATATTTATTATTGTTGTTGTTTTTCGATGTTAGCTAAAAATTCAAAAGCGCGTGGAATATCATGATCGAATAATCCGAATCTTGGGTGTTAGTCAAGGTAATATTGTATACGTCTGATGGCTCACATATTCATCTAATAAAGACTATATGCTCATCCTTCAATATGCTGAAGGTGGAAATTTAAAAAGTTATTTGGCTCAAAAACATTCAACGCTCACATGGAATGACAAACTTAAAATTGCCTATGGGATTGCAGATGCTCTTAAGTGTCTTCATGATGAAGATATTGTTCATTGCGATCTCGTAAGTACTGTTTAGTGATTTGTTTGTATATATTTAATATCCGATTCTCATTTTGCTATTTTGTAGCATTCGAAAAACATTTTAATTGATAACGGAGAACCAAAAATCGCTGACTTGGTATTTCCAGAAGCCTTAACAGTGTAACGAGTCTGGATAATGGCGTCTTTGGAATGATCCCATACATTGAACCTAAACGCTTTGCGGATCCAAACTACCCACATGACAAAGCGTCTGACATGTATAATCTTGGAGTAATTCTATGGGAAATATCGAGCGGCCAATCTCCCTTCAAAAATTTGCAACAGGACGCTACATTGGCACTATCTATACGTAATGGTTTACGAGAAACACCGGTTGTTGGCACACCACAAGAGTATAATTTGCTTTATCAACAATGCTGGCACTTAACTCCACATACGCGGCCATCTATTGATGCTGTTTTCCAATCGCTTGAAAGAATGATCATACAAACAAAAAGTTCTATACAGGATATAAACGGTTAGTATTATACTGTATGTGTAAAGATGGGAAATCACAACTCACTATTATCTGTCGATGAAACGAAGTTTCATCCGTCATGAGCACTATACCTCCTGATTAATGAGTGAAAAGTGTGTTGATTTGTGAACCCATCTTAATTTCTTATTATTTGTTGTATATTAACGGTTTTACGCAAATTATCAGAAATTGATCAAAACATACAGTGTAGCTTGACAACCTTTAAAGTTTCAGGAATCACATGAAATCGATATTACATCAACGGCAAAACCTCCAACTAATTCCAAATCGCAAAAAATTGATGTTACATCAATGGCTGGATCTCCAACTAATTGTCAATCGCAAAAGATTGATATTATATCAATGGGTGGATCTCCGACTAATTCTCAAGTTCTCTTACCCGCTTCATCAACTAATAACGACCAAGAATCACAAAACCGCGGCTTTATAAAAGTTTCCTCGCCAAGAAAATCACGCAAAATTGATGGTGATAAGATCAATATAAAAGTTGTAATCGTCGGTGATGGTGCGGTTGGCAAAACCGTTCTCTTGGGGACGTACGTGCGTGGTTTTTATCCTGTAGTATACGAGCCTACGGTCTTCGAAACTTTTTTCGTGGATTTTAAAGTTGACACGGTGAACACGTAGTAGTGGCATTTTGGGACACATGTGGTCAAGACGATTTTGATCGCCTAAGAGCATTATCATATCCAGATGCTGATGCCGTAATAATTGCGTTTGCTGCTAATGATCCTGCTAGCTTGGATAACGTATATGGGAGTTGGACATCTGAAGTAAGGCACCACCTCCCAAATGTTCCGATTTTCTTAGTTGCAACAAAAATAGATAAGAGGACTGACGCTCGCAATGACGCCCGTATTGAAGTGGTGACTTATGAAGATGGGTCTGCAGTCGCGAAAAATATAAAAGCGACGGGGTATTTAGAATGTTCGGCAAAGACTGGTGGAGGTTTGGATAATGTGTATGAACATGTCATTCGTGCTGGAGTTTTGTATAATTTGAGTAGGAAAAAGCGAAAAAAGTGTTGGAGTTGTAATAAACGTATTACTATATAGTATAATCACATAATGGGCCTCTTTCTGAAATAATCTAGCGGGCTCAGACTTGTTCCTTTGGCAACCTTACGTCTCTGTTATTTTCTGAATAGTTTATTCAATTCGCCCTCAGTGTAACTTTACGCAGGCATACTGCTAAAATTCCATCACAAGCTTCCCGAATATCATACACGAGATGCTTCACAAATTTCGGAGAGATCATGTATACTTTTTTCTGTAGCGGTAGCTTTCAGCGTATCGGTCACGATAATATTATGGACCAATAGAAAACAGCGAGCAGCAAAAAAACAGAAGCATTTAACAAGGTTTGTGCGGATTACTTTGTAGGTAAAATATTTTATGGAGTAGATACTTTTTGTACGATTGTTCGTACTAGAATCTTAGTCTGCCTAGCTCGATTTTTTGCAACTCCACGATGTAATGCATTCTTATCTTCCGTTTACGTTCAGATTCAGGAATCTTCATCACCAGTACATGCCAATGATCCTCCATCTCCCAATATATACTAATTGGTTGCAAGACAAGGAAGTTGTTTATTCCGATTTTAGGAGCATATAAACTACCATCTGAGAATCGTATTAATTAATACTTTACTCTGATTTGCTAAAAGAGCATTCTCTCCAAAATACTGCGAGACGATTTTTCCACTCGCGTAGTGTCACGTGAATGGTTAACTTTAATTTCTCAGTTATGCTCACTTTATCAAAAATTACCATTTGCCTTTTGCGGAATTCCACAAGTGGAGTAAAATTTGAGGGGTAGTCTGAGACTTTTGAGTAGGTACTGCATCAAACTATTTTAATATATGCATATTACTGTTGCTGTGTGAGATGGAGAAGAAAACTTCACTTGCTTAATATCTGATATCTCTTGAGTAAAACTGTAATAATTTAGCTTTAAAATGATAATTTTATTAGTAATAGTATACTTTTGGCAGGCGCGTGTAGCAAAAATAGTCGGTACAACAATTACACCGTGCTAATCCTAAAGTTGCCTAATTGGGCTGCGTATATCACATTACACCAAGTCTGGGATTTACGTGTTTGAAATAAATTGGTATCCGTCTTTCTCTAATAGTAAGGGCATAGTTAACCTTCTGCTTTTTTTTTTTTTTTGCCTTTTTTTCTCTCTTCAGATCGATGTAATATTAATATCTGATTTTCCGTATCGAATAAACCCGGGAGAAAAAACTTGTTTAAAAAGAAGAATACTTTGAATGGGCATGTCTAAATACGAGGGGATATTGGAATACGCCGGATGACAGCACATTTAAAACAACTGTCATTGGGCCTAATTTGACAAGTGTTCTTACTACAGAAAACAAGCGTCAAAAGCGTTTAATAAATATTCAAGATTAAGTAACTGTGTCGCAATGAATTCCTATAGCAAAGTGATGGTGAACAAAGTAAACGTTCACATATATACATATGTACACACATATATATGAAATAACATTCCATTGTTGTTATACAATAGATAATTATAAAATAACCCAACCTCCTCCATATATCAATCCTTGACACCCCCCACACCACCACTATGCCCCCATAATCTATTTGATGCGTGATTTCCTCTACGCGGGTATACATTTCCATCCTGTCGTAGCATTTTCATCCTTAACCAGTTGCCAAGTTCCCCAGTAATGGGGATCCAACTTCATCGCCACTACTTTTGTCACTTCCATACGACTAACAGTCTTAATTCTTACATATCCATCATCATCCTCATTCTCCGCCACCTCTTTCTCATGGGCGTGGATCGCGTCGAGGAATGATCCGAGATCGGTCACCTTCCGACCGGCAATTTCCACGATCCATACTCCAGGTTTGAGAGAGACTGCCGCCGGTGACCCGTAGAGTGTACATGAAATATAAACTCTACTGGGAACATAACGAACCTGCTCAAGGACGGCATGGTATGGCTCTTCTATTAACGCTCCAGCCCAGCCAATCACTCGAGTTGTCTCTTCCCCAGTATACAGTGTCGTTGCAACTTGTATGTTCATTTCTTTGCCATCGCGGAGGATAAGCTGTCAATGTCAAGTATGTCTTAGCGAGTGATTCGGATAATGATAATAATAATGCTAGTATCGCTTCATCGTCCTAAACCAAACTCACCATGTCGACCGTTTCCGAACTATGTATCACAATGGGTAAATCCGCCATTCTCGTAACAACCTTCCCATTCATCTTCAACACTATATCCCCAACCTTTAACAGCTTCCCGGCCGGACTTGCAGTGTCCAGAATGTTCAACACATACAGCAACGTATGCTTAGAATTAGGCACTTCTTCAATTTTCCTAACCCACTTATCCGTTAAACCTAAAGTGCGCGCGGGAGCAATGCGCATCGTCCAGAATTCTACATTCAAATTGTGTAGTTTGGGTATTATACCCTTCCTTAGAGGTTCGAGCACATTGCGCACGAGGGAGATCGAGAGACCAAACATAAACGATATGTCTTTGCCTTTGTCATTTTGGGATGAGTAGCCGAGCCAAAGAGCTTGTATTTGGCCCTTTTGCGTACAGAGTACTCCGCCAATAACTTACATGAAAGGTAAGTATAATAGTATTATGGTTACTAACATGGTTTTTGAGAGTCCCCAGATTAACAGAATACTTTGACATTCACCTTGGGATCCAACAGGGTCATCGATACCTATTCCCTCAACATTCATGGCCCTCCATCTGGGAGGGCTGCATTCTTTCGTTCCGACATTTCTAATGCTTGTAACAATCGTCTTCTTCATAACGGGCGACTGATCATTTCCTATACCAACAAGATAAACTTCATCTCCCTGATTTAATTCTCTATCGTTCAATTCAGCCGCAACTACCGGGGTTTCGCCCAGTAATGACGCATCATAAGTGAGGATAGCATAATTGTAGAATGGATGAAGATAAAGTAATCGCCCGGGGATGATTATGCTGTTTGCGAATGTGATGAATATATCGCCCACGCTTATTGGAATAGTATCGCGGTCGCATGCGATTAATGGTGGGTCTGTCGATAATACAACGCCCGAACCGCGGAACTACAAGATAAGAAATGAGGGGGGTTAGTAAAATATGCATGTGGACAATTCGAATATCGTTTTCGATCGCCCCTTCATACCTGAGTGCTCTTCATACCACTGACGAGGTATGGTAAATGAAAATCTAGGGCCACGAACGAAGGCCATAACTTGCCAGCTGGGTAAATAGATGAATCCAACACCTGATACGATGCAGTGGCCGGTATATAAGAATGGATAGCCGGGGGCGGAAGCATTTCTTCGAAAATCCATTTTCCAGAGTTGTCTATTGCAAAAGTACACGAATAATGTTAAAAAGCATACTTGTACACATTATGTCAAAGAAATCTGGTGACATCAAGGACATAGCTGTATATATTACAATATTATCTTCCTTCGCCCCATTCCATTTTCCTTATACTCTTTCTCGTTTCTATTCTGTGCATTCTTACTCACCATCCCGCATGGCTACTTGGAACTTGTGCCAATGTCTATCCACATGCATAATCATGACTCGCTCCTTGTAAAATTTTAACAATGAATAAAACCTTATCGGAACTCTCGCACCATCAGGTAGCGTCTTCATAGCTTCGATAAAGGCATCCAAGTTAGGTGTCGGGATATTATTCACGCTGACAATCACACTCTTCCTCCAAGCCGATGCACTGGCCAACATATGACCCGGGGTAGCAACATACGGCCCACCAACGGGCTGCTGATACGAATGAGCTAACTGATACGACAACTCGTTCACTACTCCACCTCCAATCTCGACAAATCGATTTGGCGTAATCGAATGCAAATCTTGTATCCGCACGGTAACACTCTCTAAAACCTTCCCTCGACCTATAGTAAGGACTATCTCTTCGCCAACGGAATCATCGATAATCGAAAACAAACTGTTAAAGTTGGTGACCATGTTGCCATTCACTTTAATTAAAATGTCCCCCGGTATAAGTAGACCATCTGCCGGTCCTTTTGGTAATACTTTTCGCACGACAAGCAATCCCGTTTCCTCGGGAAACTTTTCTCGCACTTGCTGTTCTATACCGGTCTTGAGACCCAATCGGCGTAATTCGTCATACGGAGAATGTTCGAATTCGGTTTGTAGTGTGCCGCGGGGAACTCCTTCACCCTTTTGTAGGCAGTGGAGTGCACGCACTATGCGATCGAGAGGAAGATAATAGCTCGATTGAGCTCTGCTTGCTCCACCAGCGTTTAGGGCAATGGCATGGCCATCAATGTCGAGAACTGGGCTACCGGATGAACCGCCACTGGTTCCGGAAGCCGCTTGCAAATAGAATGTGTTAAAGTCGTTGTATTCGCCAATGCCATATTCAGGCGCTCTGCAGTTGTGTGTTTTAAAAAATGAGTAGGTTTGCTTAATATTAATGTGCGAATGATAAAATTTCAAAACTTTTTTTTTGTTGTTCAGCCGTTATTTCCTTCCATTATCTATGTGAGATCCCGGTATACGTGAGCTACAGGACTACTTGTGCGCGCCAGCGCAATAAGCAATTTGTCTTGTTAATCGGATGAAATCACATGAAATGGGATCTCACATACAATGTACAATATAACATAAACTTAAAGTCTGTCCAAACTCTCACCTGCGATCCAATCTAGCCAAAGTTCCTGCCAGAATTGACAATTTCTCTCCCGCATCATTTCCAACGACTCTTATTTCGACACCAACTTTAGCTCTCTCTGGACTTAGCGGGATTTGTACGAGCTGTATAAATTTGACCTTTTTGGGGTTGAATCTGAAAAACCCAAAATCATGAACAGGGTCACGATAAATGGGCTGTAATTCGACTTCTTCGTAGTTGGTAAAGACCGCTTGGGCTACTACTGGACCAGGTGATACAACATGTCTGTTGGAGAGAATGAGGCCACGTTCTGCGTCGACCACGAAACCAGTAGCAGTGTATTCGCCTGTTTGCAGATTGCGTTAATTGTATTAATGACATATACTCTGTTAAATGTACAAACTTTGAATATTGCTTGAACGCCGCCGGTAACTACAATCAACATTAACGTTGCACTACTCTTTTCAATTGTTTGTAAGTCAGATTATCATGTCACCCTCGCTCTATTACCATAGTTCCCTTACTCTATTATCAATAATTCCCTTTCAAACTTTGGTATACGTTTCCTATTCTTCGGTCGTTCATTTACACTTCCTTTTTCAATTGATCTCGCCAAAACAAGAGAGACATACCCGACACTTCAGTATCGAAACTTCTTACATCATTAGCCTTGATCGCAACAATAGCTTTAATAGAGTGTTCTAAAATCATTTCCCAGCTACGCACTTTCACTGCTTCTGTTGTATCATCATTGGGCAAAGAGGGAATAAATTCTTGTGCAGCACTATTCACAGTCAGAGTCTGACGTGGCCGAACCGAAGAAGACGACAAAGACTTGGAGCGGGTTCGGAAACTTTTTTCGTGCTGAGATGTAGGTGAAATCTGTTCTCTGGTAGCAGCCGCCTTGACCGCCTGTGGATCTGGTTTGAGATCAGTGGTTTCTTCGTTATCAAGCACTGTGACCATCTTGGATGTCATTTTAGTGATCAAATCAAATTGTGCTGGGGTGAGAATAAATTATCGGTATGTTTGCGACAAATTGGAACAGTATCTTCCCAAAATATGTCCGTTGTGTCCCAGTCTGGACTTGTTCTTTTTACGATAAATGCGACTAAACTAGATTGGTTACTCTCTTTTTTTTTTTTTTTCCTATTTATATTCGATTTAATAGTTGCCTGGTATATTTTTGGTCTAACACTTTTTTATATATGCTTGGTGTAAAACTTTTGCACCCTTCTGGAAAGGGCGGAAGACAAACGGGAGGATAAGAAACAAAATTTTAAGAGTATCTTTGTTGGCCGTCCACAGATATATGCGCCTTCTTCGTCTCAACGCTGTCTGTCAACAAGGAACTCCTAGAACACCCGTGGGCTGCACAAACGTGCACAGATTATGCCCTTTTGGGCTAATTATTGTTACAGAAATTTAATTTCGGTTAGTTTCTTTTTGCAAACCTGTTTTTTCTGAAATGAATTACTCCCAGTTACTTTATTTAGATCGATCTGCTATTCACACAAAGTTTATCTCCACACATTGTTCAAGATACCGATTTATAAGAATGATTGATGATATTTATTTTAAATCTCCATGTGTTACGGTAAGGCGTATTGACTATACAACTACAATAGATCATGTATTAGTATATGTGTAATATGACGTATCATCTATCTATTACTATTACTATATCAGAAATATATTTTCTACTGACCTCACAACGCAAGTTTATTATTATAGAATGTACAGTAGATAGAATTATGTTAAAGGCATTTAACTTTAATCCAACATCAGCTCTTCGCTGTTTAGATTAATGTGATGCGTTTGAAATCGGTATATATATAGAACTTAATAATTGCATAAATTTTATTTGCTTTACTTTTTTTCCAACAGAAAGGCAGAGTTGCAAAATGGCAATATACTGTAAATATTATAATTATGTAATAAAAATCATGTCTATAAAAATCATGTCTATATGATTCTGACACTTCTAGTCTTCCTTTATATGTATTTGAATTTATGTTTATCTAACCTTCTCGAGAAGAAACAAGTAAAAATATTTTGCTTTGATAGATAATATATTAATATGCCAAATTTTATCTTGAATTTTTCAAACACATATCAAGGACATGCTTGTCGGCGATCCAACAAGACAGCGAATTCGTAGACTAACCTTTCGGCAGTTCAGATACAAACCTATACCAAAATTTGAAGACAATACAGAAAAACAATGCCACAAAATCTCGATAAATAAAAGGTTTATGATAAAAAATCGAAAAAGATGTAGAAAGTTTACTTTTGTTGACTAGATTGTCATAAAAGTGAGGTTCTCGGCCGAGAGAAGTTTGAAATTGGACAATTATCTTTCTATTGGTATTTTGGAGAACAGTACTTACTTTAATCCATACCTTCTGCAAAGTGCAAACTTATTATCAACTACACACAAAAAAACGAAATAAAAAACAACACCCACCTATATTCAAAAAAGAGAAGTAACTTCCATAACTTTGAGCAATTAAAAAATATTCATGTCAGACTTCATGGGTGGCAAATTTATAACCTTATCGAGGTCGGTCCTTTTTCCAATATCTCCTTTTAACCTTATTTCCAAAGAATGTTCTTGAATGGTTTCATATTGGCGCCGGGTAATAAAGTTTATCGTTGAGGATCGGACGAAACAAGTATAAAAACACATTTCTGAAGGCACCCATATTTAATTTAGCGGAAGTCAATATAGTTGTGGGCTTATAATTGGTAGTAGATTTCTTATAAAGTTACTGTTGATTGTTTATCAAACAATTAAACCTTTGAAGAGCAATGCGAAACGTTTTTCTTTGTTAGACATTATTAAGGAGTGACGCCTCTTAATAAATTTTTTTAGGGTTTATTGCAAGAGAAATTCTTCAGTTTTTGGTATTTTGTCGATTTGGAAATAAATTTTTCAGAACAAATGGTATTTTCAAAGTTTATATTTAGCTCTCTGGGATCATTGCGTGTCCCGGTTAAAATTTTATGAAGCTCCTATAATTATTATAGTAAATTCCTTCTAAATGCGTTTCGTCGGGACCGACGATGCGCTTGCATTTATGGAGAGCGTGCAGTTAGAGAACACCAATTACTTTATTTTACGTCACTTTGCATAGTGTATTATTTATTATGTCGCCAATAAAACCCAAGCTGAGGGAAAAGACGCTTATTTAAATTATTCAATTAAAAAAAAAGTTTGTTCAAAATTATTATACATCCTCAACCTTACGTAATTGTACCAATTCACAATCGTACTCTAACCTGAAAACATCGTCAATATCATTATACAAGATATAGTGCAAGCGTTTCTAACAGCTACGTGTCTCCTTATGGATAACTTTCGCCTTTCTACACTGTCATACTCTTCTACATTTCACATATACGTCTTCCATTACTTATTCCACGTTTTCAACTTCATGCGTGACCAAGTCTATGATCAATTCGTTGTGTTCGTGTAACATTCACCTATATGTGCGGAAAGATGAACTTGCACAATTTAATTCAATAATGATCTCTCAATTTTTTATACTCTCTCCACAACGCGGCGATACGTTAATATTCAGAGATTGTAAGCGAGTGAACATTGTTATTCTCGAGTCGTTTTCTTTGAGCCGATCGTCATCATTCTGACTTTATCCATTTTCTTCTATCAACCTCAGACCGTTACGATATACCCCGTTCGACGCCTGAAATTCTTCATTCACTCCTCAATCCCCCTTCTCCTTCACTTTCTTCTTTACCTCCGATAATCAACCGCGACCAAGTCTCTTATATTACGCTAACCTTATCCAATCTTCTGTTTGTCGCAACCACACGAAAGAATGTATCTCCATTTGTCGTATTGGAATTTCTATCCAGAGTCGGAGGGCTAATCAAGGACTTTTGTGGCGGCTTGAGCGAGGAAATGGTCAGATTGAATGCGGGATTAGTATATGAGATATTGGACGAAATTTTGGTAAGAATTTGGAAAGTGTAGAGACAATTGGGAAGGGAGCTTGCCCAACCGAATGCTGATTCAAGTGAACATACTTTTTTTTTTTTTTTGGGAGACAGGATTATGGATATCTACAGACTACATCGACAGATGAACTAAAAACTCGGGTTTTCGAAGACCCCATTCAAACAAGACAGGAGAATATTATACAGACAATATCAAAAGTGAATACTAATTCAGTCGTTTCTACATGTCAACTGTGCACCAATCGAAAATTACTTTGCTTATATCCATCCCCTTTCCCTGTTGTAGATTCAACCAACTCTGGGCACAGCCTTAGAGAGAACTCTTGGCGGCAATAACACACCCTCAAGCACGCGTCCAATAATTTCTACCCGACCATCGTCGACAAAGAAAGAATCGAATCCAAACGCGAACGTTGGACAGGTTTACATCGACGTTATCGAGAGAGTGACCGCTAGCTTTGCCGCAAACGTATGTGAGTTCTTAACCGACGCAAATTGTTTGGGGGTAAATAAGTGAACTGGCGAAAAGGACGTCAATTGTTTGACGATGTATGTCTAATCTTTAATTAGGGAATGACAAGTAACGCGGAAATAACAGGCGAGATGAAGATCAAGTCTTATTTAAGAGGAAATCCTGAGATTCATATGACTTTGTCTATGATGTCTTTAGGAGAGAAAATTGAGCGTAAGGAATAACAATGAATATTCGAGTACGAGAGGTAGAAACGGAGAATTGAATTGCGAATTCTGTTTTCTAGATGAATACGGCTCACAACATGGTTTGTTATTGAATAATTATCGCTTCCATGATTCCGTTGATTTCAAAGGTAATTACCAAAATGCTCGATTTTGACGTTTAAATGGTCATTAATATCGCGCGCACATATCTACAACGCACACGATTAGAATTCGAGTCGGCTAGAAAATTAATCATATACCCGCAAGAAGGCGAATTCATTGCAATGAAGTAAGTGACGACGACTTTGCCCAAATTGTGTATTTTGCCGTCCAGAGTTCTCATGTGCGGACAATATCTTTTCTAACCGATGCCCGAACCCAATTCCAACCAGTTATATTTTAAATACCGATGTACGCCTTCCTTTCCGCATATTTCCATCGGTCACTCTCCTGTCTCCACCAAATCAGATGCACATTGTTGTTCGTATACGTTGTGACATTCCACGCGATCGATTTTCAAACAATGTCATTGTAACGACTCCCATACCACGTTCCACCCGTTCGGTCTCCTTCGATCTCCCCGATGGTGGTACGGCCGAACACGATGTCAAGGGAAAGAAAGTAAAGTGGGTGATAGAAAAAATTACCGGAGGACTGGAAATGAGTTTGAGAATTAAAATCATAAGCACGAAAGACTTTACGGGAGTTAACATATTGGAAGTCGGACCAATTAGGTAAGGCGATAGGGTGGGAGACGTGTCTGGAATTTGTAACGCTTGTTTTCTGTGGTGAAGGAATTCATAATCAATCGTTTCTCGTCGGCGTTTCTTTAATCAAGTTTTAACAAAACAAACGTATTTTTATTCTTTTTTAGCCTTGGATTTGATATCTCCAATTACATACCATCCTCGCTCCAAATAAAACGGTTAAAGGTGTACGAGAAGAATAATTCTCTTCTTCCGCAAAGATGGGTTAGATATTTAACAATGACCGATAGTTACATGTGTCGCGTCTAAAAAAACGCATAGTTGATTCTCTAAGCAAACATTTCAAGTGTGTATGAAGGGCTGTCTTTTTTTTTTTTGTATGTCTGTCATTTAGCACTAACGAGTTCATCTGACTTGCTTGAACCTGGATGATTGTATGTGACGTTTCAATTAGGTGTGAGCAATGAACGCAAGTAACCAGGACATATGATGATTCAAATCAATTGACACGTCTCGTTATTTGATTCTTATTTATACAATTTATTTCTATAACCGGTTTATCCACACTCCCACATTTCTTATTATGCCTTACGCACCGTCTCTCCTTTCACTCTCCAAACAAAGAATCTAAATCATCCTCTTCTTCTTCTTCACCCACTTCCTCTCTGTTCCTCATTCCGCTTATAACCCTCCCGCCGGGCACTGGTCCAAGATCTCTGTCATATTCCTCTTCAACGAGGTCATCTTCTTCGTCAAACTGAACCCGTACATTTTCACCCGGCGCGGAGGGTCTGAGGCCTCGACGGCTTGAGGGAGGAACAGAAGGTACGGGTTTTGATTCAGCCGCGTCGATCCATTCCGAGTACACATCTATTGGGTCGCTTAACGCTTTATGGAAATTGTTGTTTAGATAAAGAAAGAGTGACGAGGAGATTTGACAAGATTAAAGAAAATAGCATTGCTGGGGAGATTAACGTTACTTCCGAATTTTTAGTAAAGTCTTCTGTAATGACACTCACAGTTGATGGGTGCTTGGAATTGTACTCCGCACACTCTACATACAAGATTTCCTACTCTTGTTTGTTTATCCCTTCAGAATAAACATGATTAAGTTCGATTGGTTTTTCAACAACATTATTAACAAATCCCACTTGAACTAAAACACAGTGTTACTGTTATTAACTAGGAGTAGCGTTTCTTCTTTTGTAAACTCTGCAGAAATCGTTAATGATTCAATGCATTGCAAAGTTGACCAACTCACATTTTAATCTCGATGCTTCGTTTGTGACTACAATAGATACAATCAAACTGCGTATCTAAAACGAGCTTCATCTTTGGAGCAGGTTTTCTTTTTGATTTTCTCTTGCCCATTGTGATTTACCTACGTCGATGTTCAAAAAACGCTGCAAACGGGAACTAGTACTATTACGATATTTGATTATGACGTATAAACAAAGATAAAGTGAACAGGGTATTTTCAGGGGTCTGTATCATAAGTGTTACCACTACGGATTTGTCCTACTTGAGAAATTTGAAGGGTGTCAAATTTTATGATTCATGTTTTAAAAAATCAACACGTTCTGGCGTAACAAAAAGAACACGATTTTATTTTCGTGCTTGCTGGTATTAATTATTCGCACCGTGTTTATGTTCTCGATATTTAGCAAGGCGTACTGACTATCATATGGATGTCATAGTCGAACGATAACCACTTTCTAGTCTCTATTACCGTACACTTATTTACTAATACATAAGGATTTGTTTTGCACTATATAAATTATGTTATTGTGCTGCAGTCAAGCTTTGAAACGACAAGACTCATTTGACATTATCAAGGTTAGATTAAAATACGGGATAGTGATAAGTTAATATTAATTTGTTCAGCCATGGATGGAGATACAGTACAGAAATATTCGGCTTTAAACGTGTAATGAGTTGGATTATAAACTGTCGTTGTATTTGCTGCAATTGATACATCGTATTTTTCGCTGTGAAAGTTTGCAGCTTGTAAGATACGTGTGTGACAAGGTAATTAATAATTCCAAAAAATTACAGCACCATTAGAAGTATTCTAAAGAAAGCTCAAAGAGAAAAATTGCCCCGTATGTTTTTAAGATTAATGATACCCAAACTCTTCAGGAATGTCTAGATCAAGAAAAAATCACTTGTGAAATTTATCAGACCTACTAAACGAGCATTAATATTAGTGGGATTAGAAATAAACAATTTAGAAATTGTCTAAAGACGTTATCAAGAAAATTTATACAGCTAATACAATTATGCTATCTTCTAAATATGGTAGTAAAAGAGTTGAATACTTTAAATTTTACTGTCATTGCGTATTCAAATAAATTCATGGAGAACCAAATAGCTTATTATTATGTATTTTGTTCATGATTAAATAAATTAATAAGAAATTGAATATGGTCGGGATAAACTAAAATTGAGAAAGCGAATCCCCGAGTCTTCGACTCATGCGATTTAATATCTATTATATCTTCGTCAGCTGTACAATATTCGTCATCAGAGCTTGACTTGTACATGCGTTTGGAATTACAGGTAAACCTCAAAAATATGTGTGTATTTCTGTACGTAATTTACTTCTGTATGTAGCACGTATCTTCAATATCAAATCAAACGTTATTTTGCGATCTTGACATACATAGTTGGTACACTTGCACGGCAAGTTGCATAGTTAGGGGCTACATTATCATTAAAAGAATGGCGATAAATCTTCGACGGATTGATACCATCGATAAGCAGTGGAATGAATCAAGGTTTTGGTTCTTACAAAGTGCCAGACATTTTAAGAGATTTCAAGAAGGCTTGGGATAACTTTTATCTACAGGATTCTTGCATTATAGTCACAAAGCAGCTGTTGCGTTTTAAATACTATTATCCACTGTCAAATAAAAGCAATCACGATGAAGAGTTGAGCAAGATAATTTTGCGACTGCATGGATCATTTTGGGAGAGGTATAAAAACAATGTCAGGAAACGCGAAACCAACTGAAATTGACAATGAAGGTTAAACTGACCAGAACGTAGTTATGCATTTTTATTCAGTATCATAAATTTAAAAAATGACCGCTATATTATATAAGAAGTCTAACAGTAAACGTGAACTCTTGTTGACACATTTAATATACTAATTGGAAGAGAAGCGAACTCCTTGAATAATAAACCACCCACGAATTACAAGAGTGTTTGTGTCGCTAAATTATTAGACAATAAAACGATGTTAATATTGTAAATTGACTGTATTTGTACCAATGCGTAACATACCTGCAGCTGAATCCAAATCATAACTATTTCTTGGTTTAGGCAAATCTCCGGTATGTAAGAGTTTACTAGAGTATTTATTCTCCTTCTCGAGACGTGATAACGGCTTTACGTCAGTATGATAGATTGTATTCCACACGTTGTCACCAGATTTATCCTTTCTCATAATATCGCGAATATCGCAGAAAAGTGTACCTGCATCAGGACGCTTATCAGGATCAGCATCACAACATTGCTCGGCAAGTTTCTTGTATTTCTCTGGCGCAGAATCAGGCATCGACGGTCGCAGTCCCTCACAAACACGTATCGCCAAACATTTGTCAAAGGACCAATCTCTAAATGGTGGTTTACCAGTAGCAATCAAATACATAATGATACCAAATGAATACACATCCGATTTCTGAGTAAATTTGCAGGTATGGAAGACTTCCGGTGCAATAAATGGCAAAACGCCTCGAATGGTTGAATTTGACTCGCGTGAATTCACTGATTGTGAAAGACCAAGATCGCATATAAATGAAGTTGCAAAACCATCTATAACAATGTTTCCGCCATGAAGATCACAATGCACTAATCCCACAAGATGAATACGTTGCAGATAATCTGCAATATCTTTCAAATGCCGCAATTTATCTTTCCACGTCAATTTGTTAATATTTTGAACCAAAAAAGACAAAAGACTACCATTGTTAGCATATTGCATAACAATCATGTACTCTTTTGTTTCTGGGTCTTGTTTTGGTGGGCCCTTTATTCAGCACAGCTACGTGGACCGCTAGAGCTGTTGTTTCTGGGTCTTGTGTGACTCCATAAATTCTAAGGAATGATTGATACTCTTTTATGCACTTGGCATGATTTCTGAACTATGAAATAAGTAATAAATAGAGTCAGCTTACATAATAATTTAATTAATAGTACCAATTATTGCTTACCTCGGAAATAAATAATTCCGGCATTTCATCAAAATTTTTAAATCGTTTAAGTACAACAGTTTCCCAATACATATGTTTTACTTTCAAATACTTTTTATACTTGGCAGTATAAACTGTTCCGTAACCGCCAAATCCAATCTCTTTGAGTTCATAAAAGTCGCTATACTGCAGGTATTCAACACGATTGTTGTTTCGTATAAACCCGTCCAGTATTGCGTATACGTCGTAATAGAAAACTAAATAATATTCCCGAATAGATGGCTCCTGAGTGATTCCAATTATCCAAACATTATCGGGTGTTAACATCGTCGAATATTCCTTAGTTAACTATTTTGAGCAAACAGAATACACGTTATAACTCTGATTAATCAAACGTAGCGTAGGATACGCACTTATCAATTGCATCGTTTAACACGTAACACGTGCAATAATTTACCTGATAAAAATCAAACGATTGGTCGTCTTGTTTGTCAACTATTTTTTTTAGTGCTACACGGGTGAATTCATTCCATTTTGCAATATGCATGCATCCATGGCGTAATGGCGTCATCTCTTGCACATTTGTTAATAGAGAATATTCTATCCATTGTATGTACGAATCATCTTCATGTAATGTATTGTGCCATGATTCCATAATAAATGAATCCAATAACTTGTTGTCAGTCGTCCAGTCGAGAGGTCGTGGTGCTTTGCACTTATAGCAGAACACATTTATCTTGGGGTTTAACTGCTGTATACACGCCAGACATAATCCGCGTCCGTCATCTTCTTTTATTAGACAATACTTCAGTTTCTTTGTATCGTATGTAAATCCGATGGTAACCCAAACATCCGTGGTAAGAATATCAGGATGCTTATCACATAAC